TTAAAGGCGTGCACCACCACACCCGGCCTCTGTCTTTTTAATCCAATTTTTCATGTATCACACAAAACAGATTTTTATAGCCTAGACAGTGTCAACTAGAGGTGGGTCCAATTCATAAAGCAAAACATAAAATGGGCAAGCACTGCCAAAGACTTGGTGTGTTCTCCATAGCCTTCCCAAGGACCTCCAACATGCACTGTTTAGCAACAGTTATGTTCACATGCATCCAAATTTCAAATCTCAATCACCTGGCAAATGATCATGAATTCCTCGGTTTATGGGTGTTGTGCAGACTTTACTGAAGTCCAGAGAATTGTCCAATATGGCATTTATCCTTCGAAAGATACTGGCATTGCTACATGTAGAGAGTGCGGGAGCTTCCTGGTTTTCCCAGCAATCTTTTATCCTTCCTGCTTCTTCTTCCTACACATAGAGAAAACATACTTAGGCTTTCTATACGCATACAGAATGATAAAAAGACTTTACACCCTCATCTCTCAATAATACTAAGAATTAGAAAAAGTATCAAGGATTTCAGTTTCTTGCCAATAGATTAAAGTACTAAATGAGTATTTACTGTGGACAAAGTACTCAGAAAACTGTAAGAATACCAATTAAAACATAAAGACATTTCCTCAAGAACCTCCTAATTCAGCAGCACACATAACAAGAATTAACATGACATGGGACAGTGGAATGAGCTTCAGAATCTGACTTGGTTCAAGTCTTCGGTATAGGCACACAGTAGAATACTGTTTGGCATAAAGGAATGTAGTGCTGAAACATGCCCCAACATGGATAAACCTCAAAAAAAAAGTATGTTAAGTAAAAGAAGTCAGTCACAAAAGACAACATATTTGAATACTGGGGGAAACGAAGACATTTTCTTCAGTGGTGTAGCCACTAGTAAGTTGCCTATTCTCCTGTAAATAACCCCTCACCCACGGAAACAACCTTGATTATTCATTGGGTCACCAAAAAATAAAAACAAAATATGAAAACAGAAGGGAGACTGGTTGGGAAGAGGAAGAAGATCAGCAGGAGGGGGAGGGGGCAAGAGAGTAAAGGGAAAGGAATGATCAAAATAGATTACATACATGTATGAAATATGTCATAATGAAACCCATTACAATGAATAAGCTAATAAAAAACAACATATGATCTGGGTGTGGTGGCACATACCTTTAATCCCAGCTCTTGGGAGGCAGAGGCAGGAGGATCTCTGAGTTTGATGCCAGCCTGGTCTCCACAGTGAGTTTCAGGTCGGCTGGGGCTACTGGGAGACCCTGTCTCAAAAAACACCAAAAAAAAAAAAGATAACATATTATAATAAGCCTATGTATATGAAACATCCAGCATAAAAAACTTAAAGGTTACCTATCTAGGGCTGGGATGGGGAAATTATGGGGTATTGGCTAGTGGGTCCAAGGTTTCTTTCAGGATGCTAAAATTACATTATGGTGATGGCTACATAGTTCTAATGCCATGTGGGTGCTGGGAATCGAAAAGGGGTCCTCTGCAAGAGCAATCAGTGCTCTTAACCACTGACCCATCTCTCCAGCCCCAAAATTTAAATCACTGGCCAGACCTGATGACACAAGTTTGTAATCCCAGCTACTTGGAAGGTTGAGACAGGAAGATATTCAATTCATTTAGTGAGATTCTATCTCAAAAAGTAAAAAGAAGGGGCTAAGTTTGGTTCTCAGCACCCATATTGAGCAGCTCACAGCTAACTCCAACTTCAGGGGGGATCCAGCAGCCTCTGTGGGCACCTGCACTCAAGTGTACATACCCCCACACACACACCCTTAATTTAAAATAATAATAATAATGCATAAAGAATGATGGGGATTTACTTAGTGGTACAGCACTTACCTAGCAGGCTTAAGGCCTCATGTTCAATCCTCAGCATCACATAAACCCAGACACAAAATTGTACACTGAATGGTGAACTATATATGATATGCACGTTACCTCAATAATGTTTGAAATTTTTGGTTCTACCATTTATTTGCTGTGTGATGCTAGCTACTTAACCCTTGTGCCTCAGTTTCCCCATGTATGAAATGGGAATAGGGTACATACCAACTTCTGGATGACTTATAATAAAGCATTTAGCACAGTGTCTAGTATACAGAAGCTGTTTATATGCTTGACGATCTAATTGCAAGAGAGGAGTGGAAAGCATCAAGAGTGACATCAGCAGCACTCAAAGGATCTTGGTCAATGAAGTACACACAACTCTGGTTACTAGAATGAGAACATATACTAGACATCACTAAATATTTTTAAGCAGTACTCTTGGATAGATATGGAATCATGAACTGAGTCCTATATAAAAACTACTCGGGTGTAATGTAAGTATCACTACCTACCAGTACCAAGGGAAGCTATCTAGCCAGTATTATTCTTCATACTTTAATCCTCACTTTCTACACTCAAGGCCTCATGTTGAAAGCAATGAAACATGGTCAACACACTTAGCTTTTTTTTCCTTTTTACTTTTTTTGAAATGGGGTCTCACATAAGATGATCCTGAACTCCTGATCTTCCTGCCTCCACCTCTCAAGTGCTGGGATTACAGGTATAATACCACTATACCCAAGCTCTCCCCACCCCTACCGCCTTGTATCTATTTTAAATTGCTGGGTTTTGTGGGGGTTTTTTTGTTTTTTTTTTTCTTTTGAGAAAGGCTAGCCTGGCACACAACACAGTCCAGAAGGGGTCCCTCAAACTCATGGCCATCCTCCTGCTTCAGTCTCCCAAGTGCTGAGGTTACAAGTATGAGACAACATCTAGCTGTCAGATAATTTTCTAAGGGAAAAGCAAGGCAGATCAAGTATCTTATACCTAGTCTCATCAAAACAAAATGGTTTGGTGTTACTTTGTTTAGCTTATTAAAATTCAGGTAAGCCTGAGAATGTCCAAATGCTTTTACAGTTCTACCACCTCTGCAGGGTAGCCTTAAATGGATAAACTTGAATCCTATTTCAGCCTCAAGCTTTTGAAACACTGATATTCTTCTGCAACATTTTCCTTTGAAGGCAGCCAGAATATTCAATTCTGTAACGCTGTTTCCCAAGCCCTATTGACAGGTACCCCTCATGAGGTGTTTTCACAATTACACATTTCTAAGATGATACTCAACTTCACTTAAAAACAAGGCTAAGATGCATTAACAATCTGCTGATTTTAAGGCTATATGCTTCATTCACTCCCTGTAAATAAACATTAATCAATTGCCTGCTATCTAAAGGCAACACCTCAAGGGTCAGCAAGTAAGACAGTCAATCAAAAGGAAGTTTTATAGTCTGGACAGAGAACTAAGACCTGATCATGTTGTAAACAACAACATTAAGTTACAATGTGACATAAACATACACTGTCCTCTAAGTATAGGTAACTGGGAATCTGATGAAGAGGGAAGTCTAAAGAACACAGAAAGCAAAGGGGCATTTTCAAACATGCCCCAGTACCATAGAGTATTAGGAGAAGAAGAGAGGAGACAGGAAAGGCCTCAAACTAGGTTATGTAGCTAACAGTGTCTTCTAGATCAGAAAGTTACAATTTTAAAAATCCCCTTTAGCAACACAAAAATTACCGTTTTATTTAGTATGCTAGAAGTACTAAACCATGAAGTCTCAGAATCCTGACCACATCTGAAGCAGTAAATGACCACAATATTTAAGTCTTAGGAGACAGATAGCAACTACAGGAGAGATGAGGACTGATGAGAAAAGCACGACAATATTTAAGGCAACCCAGGCAAGCTTGAAGGCCTTCTGGGAGAAATGCACTCATCAGGAGGGTCTAAGGTGCTAATTTCAAGTAGCCTGAAAAAATCTAATTTAAACGTATGTCTGGCCACCGTGCCTTACTCTTAATTCAACTGGGAAGATGCAACTCATTCCAAACTGGGTAAATGTCTTCTGTCATGCCTCCTTCCTTTTTCTTCTGCATCCCAAATCAGAGATCTTGAAGACGACTGCATAATTAGAATAAAAGTAAATGAGGTGCTCAATTTACATCCCAAATGGGTGATCTTATTGGTGAGTGCCAATGTTTACCAAAGTGGGGAGTAGGTAAGCCAGCACTGCCACAGGGAGAACAGTTTACCACTTATGTGTACATTACACACACAAGTAAATCTATTATCTCATGGGGGGGGTTGAGAATACACATATAGTACTTACCACAGTGCCTGGCACATAATTATGTGCCGAGCAAATTAACTCTGTCTATCAATAGCAGTGTTATTATACCATAAGTCAGAGGCAACGACAGAAATCTTTGAATAAAAGATCTATGTGGTCATTAAATGAGAAAAAAAATGTATTAAACACCCAAGGCAACAATTTCTTTGAAGATCCCAGGCTCTTCTCTGCCTGGGTCCCCGTAATGCTTCCTAATAGTTTGACTTAAGAAGCTTAATTAAAATACTGAAGACATCATACAAACTGAACTGCCATTTTAAAACCTTAATCTACCACAGAATAGACTGACCTTTTAAACACATCGATTAAAAGAATTTGTTTCTCATTTTCAAAACTGAAACTCACTATCCACTCCCATAATGAGTCCTGTTGATTTTTCTATAGCCTACCTTAACTTTGTGATCAAGATATAGCTCTGAGTTCAGACCAACATTTTTCTATGAAGAAAATAATTTTTTCATGGTTACTCTACTGTTGCCTGACAGTGTCTCCTATTATTTTTGGTTTATTTTGCCATAAAGTGAGATCATTTGTAAGCTTTGTGTCTATGTGCGGTTTCTACCTTAAGTCAGTCTTTAACTATGAACAGAAAATTAGGTTTTTAGCTGAATCAGACTTAGAATGTATAAATTTCATTATTATAAAAAAATAAAAGGTCAATAAGAAGAATTACTTGGCAATGCTAAAAGACAAAAAGAATTCTTTTAAGTTTAAAACTGATGATACAGTCTGGGCATGGTGGCACATACCTTTAATCCCAGCTCTCCAGAGGCAGAGGCTGGTGGATCTCTGGGAGACTGAGGTCAGCCTGGTCTACATAGTGAGTTCCAAGCCAGCTGGGGCTACAAGGAAACCCTGTCTCAAAATAAAAGACAAAAAACTGATGATACAGGGGGATTAAAAAAAAATCTCAAGATAAAACTAGTTTTTCCTACCTCCAATGTTATTAGAATGCCTCCTGAAGAATCTCGAACACAAATTATTTAAAATCAGGTCTCAATTTTTCTCAAGAGTGATAGTCCTAGGATAGAACACTGGTTTTATATAGCTGTGAGCCTCAACTGCCCCTCCAAAAGTTGAGACTACAGCAAGCTATTTTTATTTTTCCACGAAACGAAAGAATCTTTCTACCCCAAATGAGTCCCTATTTCAAAAAACAAAAATCACAGGCTCTGAAGTTTAAATACTGGTTCTATCACCTAAGTATTA